AAAAAAAAAAAAAAAAAAAATCCTGATAAAAAACCTTTCTGATGATGAAATTTGACGAGTATCCTGAGATGATCACAAAGATGATGGATAATGTTGAGGATGCTGATGACTATTCCTCTCCACCCCTCCTTCCAGGTACTATCCTCCTCTCCCCTCGTTTCCTGTTCTCCTCTGCTCCTCTCGCTGCCTCCGCTGAGCTGAACCCCGCTATCAGTATGAAGTTCCTCTCAGCCCCAACGAGAGAGATAACCTCCCCGTTCCCTTCTGCCTTGAAGTAACCAGTTCCCCCAAAAGGTGTACCTCAAATATAACACTCTGACGTAGTCTCCCTCCGCCAGGAGATAATGCGCCCCCATACATATCTCCCAGCCCCAGCCCAGGTCAGCTCCCATCATCTGTGTCGACTCCCTAGAGGGCAATCACCTCCCACCTTGTGTTACCCCTGCAGAGTAGCGCTCCCTTCCTGACCGACCTACCTACCAACAAGACGATAACCTATCTGGGCGAAGAGAATATAACCACCAACACGAAGATAACTACTAATTGATGAAAAAATGAATAAGAAATTGTGATGATGATGATGATGATGATGATAAAGATTCAGATTGGTAAATGATGATGATGATGATGATGACGAAGATGGAATAAAATTGGCGAGAAATAAGTAAGGAACATTTGACTTGCGATACCCTAATGGCACCGGTGTGGAAGATTGACAGCTCACTATTGCTGTAATGAAAATAGAAGACGGAGAAGTCCGAACGACGATGAAGAAGATGAGGAAGCGAAATGATGATGATGACCAACGTCAACAGTGATGGTGACCACCGGCAAAAGAAGATGCGGGTGATGTATATGACGAGCAGCTTTGATAGGTGAAGACAACCAGCGACAATGTTAATGATAAACCAACGCTTCTGACAAAAAAAACTGCACAGGAAAAAACAACAACAAAAGAACACAAGAATAAAGAAGAGCTCCCGTGATGATGATCTCGCCGACGATCCTCATGCTGTGATGATGGTCCGAGCTGGTCCAGCAGTCTCCACACTTTGGTTCCACCGGGTTGACTCTACTTTCTTCCACTGACGTCGACTTTCGCCAACTCGCTCGAGCGCTCCAGCCTCTATAAGGGCATTGGCTATGGAGTACTTGACGTGGAAAGCACAGGGGAAATGGACAAACAGCAGCTTCCACCTATACTCTCCCTCTTCCACAATGCCTCAGGCCAGCCGCCATGTCAGCCTGTGACGTGGATTGGCCAAGTGCCTCTAGATGCCACGTGTGTGTTACGCGCTATTGCCAGATCCTTTTATCCCCTCACAGCGTCCTCATGCCAACGCGTGCCCATGCACTAGCTGTCAGCACCATGCCACGTACATGAAGCCAGCACCACGCCATCCGCCAGTCGCCAGTGCCTTGTTGCTTACCCGTAGCCAGCGCCTCACCGTCCGCGAGCAACCAGTGCCTCGCTCCTCTCAAGGAGCCAGTGCCTCGCCACCTTCGAACCACCAGCGCCCCACTACCAGCGCACAACCAGCACCTCACCACCGATGGCTGACCAGCGCCCCACCAAGCGCACGCTGCCAGCGCTACACCTCCAGCACGCGGGTTGACGGCAGCATGCTCCTCACATTGTGTGAGCGCTAACGCGCGCCCACCCCTGCCTAAGTTCGGGTCTGTGGGGTCTTCCAATCCCCCTTGTCCTTCTCCATTCTAGACTTTCTTCTATGTCCATCCAGCACCCAATTTTAGTCCTACCTCTGTCACTATTGTGAGGATTGAGCCCTCAAAGGGGCCTTGCCGTGGTGTACATGTTCTGGGCCAAGGCCCCCAGCAAGCATCGTGCCCGCCCTAAGTGAAGGCGGGCCAGCAAATCAACGAGAGCCCTCTGTTCAAACACTTCACGAAGTGGGGTCCATACAGTTGCCGCACGCCAGTTGGTTGGAGTGCACCGCGTACCGGATCTCTGCAAATTGCAGAAGGACCAGGGCCCATCTCAGTTGGTTAGGCCCTGGGCACATAAACGTGAGGCCGACATTGCATACTGGAAATAGAGGCCGAAAATGCCAATGGGATACCGGTCCACTATCTGAATCTGGACGCAGGCCTGGATGAAAGAGGCACAACTGTACTGCGTGGGCCCCAACCGCATTGGGCCTGGGTACAGGTACTGGGGCCCAGGCGCAGGCTCAAGGGAGGCTGCCCACACGCAACACTGGCATATAGGCAGAGAGGGCGAGTGGGCAGGGATCTTGGCCATTGCGAGCAAGGCCGGCACGCTGCTGGATTGCAAGTGTGCTACGCTGCGCTAGGCTGAGTGAGAGCAGGCTGGCGCTAGGCGGTAGAGCGCAGCCTGGGCGCAGGGCGCTGGCGGCCATAGCCGGGCTGCCTGTGGGCACAGAGGAGGTGAAGGGCGAAGGTGGTTCTTCGGAGGTGAAGGGCGCTGTGTGGGATAACAAGGGAGAGTGAGGGTGAAGAGAGACGTACCTGGTGGAGAGGAGGTCGGCATTGGTGTTGACGTCATCCCTCGCTGGTCGTCAAGTTGTCTGGTTGCTTCCATGCTGTAGTTGTAGAGATAGGCTGTAGAGTAGGTAGAGCGCCTGGCGCCATTCAAGAGAGAGAGCTACATTGGGTTATGCTGTTGGTGTTGCCCGATTGGGCTTGGACATTGACTCACGATTCTTCTGTACCGTTCTCAAATGGATGGTTGCTCGGTTCCATTGTGCTATCTGCTCTTGCTTTGACTACTTGGGCTCCAGTGTGATTTCGCAATTTGGATTTCTGTGCTTCGTCCATATTCATGTTCCTTGCACTATCCCTATTTACTGTTTAACCCCTCCCAGCACAGAGGAAACACACAATGAGAGCAGGCTTAGCTCACGGGAAAAGCAAGCATACATTAGAGTCTTGGTCACACAGGCAATACAGCAAAATTCACACAAACTCGGAAACCTTCGGCAAATAAACAGACAGCAGTACTCAGAAAACTGCAGGAATCTCAGACTGCAACTGTGTGGGTCACTGCACATGTCATGAAACTCAAGAACTGAATGTTGAAACTGCTTTGACAAAGAGCAGCCAGACCAGATCGCCCGTTCAGCAACAATTAACCATTAAGGCGTTTGTTATAATTTCACTCCAGAAAAAGGGAAAGAGAAGATGTTTTGAGAAGAAACTAAAGTCAGATTCATTCAGTCACTCATAGGCCAAATGGGAAGCATGCGCCACAGCAGCTACACAGCGCATACAACCCCACACGCCCAAACATTAAGCCCCCATTCTCTCTCTCTCTCTCTCTCTCTCTCTCTCTCTCTCTCTCTCTCTCTCTCTCTCTCTCTCTCTCTCTCTCTCTCTGCCCTCGCCCCCAGCCCCCCCGACCCCCCAAGGAGAGACATAGAGAGCACAACTTATTCATTCCCACGTACAATGCATAAAAGCAACCCCAGAGCAACAACAATTGACAATAAAGAAGAGACAAAGGCTGTATACATTGAATTCACCGGGTTCATCAGGATTGGGTGAAGGAACCTTAGTGTACTCACTCTTAGATGAACGAGCATGCAGAAGTGCTGCCACTTTGAAGAGTACCCTCTCTGTAACAAGAACGGTGACAGCAGTGTAGATAAACTCAAGGACTGAATCTGGAAGGTCAACACCCCAGAACTCAAGTCCTTGCCGCGATTTTGAACCGACCCTTGAGATATGGGCGGAGATGAAAATCAGCCACATCAGGGACACAATAGCAAAGCACAGTCCCAAATAGTCCCATGTAGTTTCTGGGTTTGTTTTCTGGCTGCCAAGGTCCTCTGCAGAGGAGGCTGAGAACAAGTCAACTCCACCCCTCTTTTTCGCAGGTGTCGCATATTTGCTCAGAATTTCCGCAAACTGTTCGTATGTTCTTTCCAGCCCCACTTTTGTGTTCTTCTCAATAATCCCCTTAACGAGCGAGCTTTGGAAAAAACGACTTTGCCAAGAGATGCGGAGTCTGCACATGTCACCCCCAGCATCAGAGTCACTTCCAACCACCCCAGCAGGTGCAGCCATCGCTGGGGCCTTCATAGGAAATATGCAGAACTGCATATCAATGGCAAAGGTTGACCCATAGGGCAAATCTGGAGTGATGACGCTGGTGTTTACGACGTACCCCATTGTATCAGCCTTAACATAAGTCTGTGTCTCAACAGCCTTGGCCGGTTTGACAATAGATCCAGCCCCAGTCATGTATATCACTTTGCGGGAAATGCAACCATCTTCTGTCCTCTGCCATGGTCCATCCTCGATCGGCCGCATCTGCATCGCTATCCTCTGTTCATCTAGCATCTCTGAAACCGGGCTGAAGAGCAACCCATTCATCTTTCTACAGCTTATGTGATACTTGCGGTCAATTAGAACACCACCACACAGAGGGGGGGGCATGGTCTCTCCTCCATCTCCAAGCAGTCTAGGGTTGGTGACAGTAAGCTCCGTTGTGGCACCATGGCTGTCAAAGAACACTGGTAGGCTATCTGCACAGAGCAAAGGAGATCCCCTGAGAGAGGTAATCTCTCCCGAGCACCCTTCTCGTACTGTCTTAGCAGCAGAACTTGTTGAAGCCCCTTGTTGGCTAACCGAAGTGCCACGTGGTGTGCCACTGACACCTGGAGTGGTGGGAGTAGGGACAGAACAGCGGGGTGTCAATGGTCCATTGCTGAGAGGACCACTGAAGGAAATCGCTGAACTGGACCCTTCCAGGCTGCTGACAGTCCTGGACCGGTGCCAGGAACCAGCTGCTGGTTCCTCGGAAGCCGGTACATTCTTTGGGGAAATCATCGGCATTGGAGTCAACGAGGAGATGCTCCGAGCTAAGGAGAATGGGGTTGATAGGAGAGAGGACCAGAGGCCCACCGTGGAAGGAGATTCAAGATCGGTTGAAGCAGCAGATACATCTGATTCATCTGGAGAGGACGAGCTGGATGGAGTTTCTTGTGCTGATGATGTGGATACTGGAGTCAATGAAGCAGAAGGCCCCGCTCGCACGGGCGATACCCCGTCCAATATCATGTTGCTGCATTGTCCATTGTTGCTGTTGTTGTTCACCCTTCCAAACAGTGCCAGGCCCAGTCGAATGTCTCCTTTTTTTGAAAATCCCACACAACACAATGCAATGACGCGTCATACACATTTATATTGCAAGGACACACAATACCCACCGGTTTCAACAAGTCGAGGAGACACCACAGCAAGCCCAACTGTGCCCAAGTCATCAACCAGCAAACCAAACAGGTCACTTGGCCAGTGATACTAGCCTTCTAAAAATAGCAGTAGTCTTTGCTCACGTCCAGTTCACAAAAGAAATGTCATTTACAGCCAGCCCCACAATGATGCATCATATACATTTGCATTGCACGGACACAACATACCCACCGGTTCCATCATGTCTTGTAGAACCCACAGCAAGCCCTTCCGTGCCAAAGTCATGAACCAGGTAACCAAGCAGGCCAGTCCACCAGTAATGCTAGCGTTCCAAAAATTAGACGTTTTTGCTAATATACACTTCATACCAGGGCTGTGCCGGCAACCGGCCGGTTGGATCAGCCCGGTCCCAACCGGGCCAGTTGAATCCCCGGTGGTCCAACCGGAATTCCGGTTGGGCCCAAAAATGGGTCAATTTTTTTTTATTTTTTTTTTTGAAATCATGGTTGGACTGCGCTCGCCGAGATCTCCCCAAATCCGCAAAGAAAACTTTGATCAGAGAACTTTTTTTCTGGGGGGGGGGGGGGGGGGGGGTTTTCAGGGGTTTGGGGTCGGGGGTTAGGGGGGGTTGTGGTGGTCTGGTTTCAGCAAACACGGGCGTTGGCAACAACGTATCTGGCTTTCTGGCAACAACAATCCTCTCTCTCTCTCTCTCTCTCTCTCTCTCTCTCTCTCTCTCTCTCTCTCTCTCTCTCTCTCTCTCGTAGGAACTAGTTAGAAGCAGGAGAAAGAAGACGAAGAAGAAGAAGAAGAAGAAGAAGAAGAAGAAGAAGAAGAAGACGAAGAAGAAGAAAAAAAAGTAGAAGAAGAAGAAAGGAAGAAGAAGAAGAAGCCGGGATGGCATGTGGCGTTCTCGGCCACGTGGCAGCAGCAGCACCAGAAGAAGAAGAAGGGAAAAAAAAGAAAAAAAAGAAAGAACGACTCTCTCTCTCTCTCTCTCTCTCTCTCTCTCTCTCTCTCTCTCTCTCTCTCTCTCTCTCTCTCTCTCTCTCTCTCTTGGAAGTGGTAAGCTTGGGTGAAGAAGAAGAAAGGAAGAAGAACAAGAAGAACAAGAAGAAGAGAATGGCCACTAACCTCCGCGACGGGCGCTGCTGGCCACGGACGGCGACGGGAGCCGCTGGCGACAGCCACGGGAGACGATAAAGACGAGGAGGACAGCGACGAGAGCTGCCACGGGCCACGACGACGACGAGGAGGCGACGATGGGAGCTGCCACGAGCGACGACGGCGACGGGCAACTCGAGACGGCGACCGGCAACTCGAAGTGGCGGTGGGACGGCACTCTCTCTCTCTGAAAGGCGGGAAACCGAGGAGGGCCGCCCTCCCTCCAACTTTCAAAACGGCGGCCTCATCTGGGTCGCCGATCTGCCTTGATCAGCGGTCCGGAGAGGCCGCCGTTTTGGATGCACATAGGCGGGCTTGCGCTACCCGGTTCGGATTTTTTTTGGGCCAGGAGGCCCCCACAACCTCTGTGGGGGCCTCCTGGCCCAAAAAAAGTTTGTTTCGGCCTTTTTCCTGTAATGCGCTGTAGGCCGCCGGTGGGCAACCGAACCGGTCGACCGGCCGGTCCCACCGGCCTGGTTCCGGTTGGGGGTGGACCCCCCGGTCAGACCGGGTATTTAGCACTGCTTCATACAAGACATGTCATTTACAGCCACCCAAGCCTGATTCGAGTTCACACTACCTTCTCTTTTTCTTGGGGATCGAGGAGGGGGTATGGTCAGAGCAGCATGGTTTGCATCTACCCTTTCTTCTTCTCACTCAGGCTTTTTCTTGGTCTCATGCATTTGCGAGGATCTGGGTCCTCAGCAGGCCTAAGGGGCCCCTGCTGCAAATGTGCCCGCCCTAAGCGAAGGCGGGCCTAACAACTTACGAGAGGCCCTTGGCTGTCAATTTCGTATTTCGGGTCCAGGCAGTTTCGTCGCGCCAGTTGGTTGAAGGAAAACACAGGCCGAGCAGCGTGGAAATTCCCAGGCCTTCTAGGCCTTTCTGAAAGCACAGGCCCTGGGCAAGATTCACAGCCTCATACACAGACAGTTGGGAGGCCCAACCGAATGAGGCCCAGTAGCTGCACCAGAGGTGCAGCACCTTGGGGCCTACCGGAAACTTCTGGGCCCCGGCTCAGGGCAGCCAGGCTGCAAAGCCAGGCCAGCTCTTTTCCATATAGGAAAGAGCTCGCTGGCTGGCAGCTCATTCGGGCACTCGCATGCTGGCGGCAGCGCTGCTGGAGCTGAAGCTCATGGGCTGCTGCTAGCGCTGAGAGGCGAGGTGCAAGCACGTGCGGTCGTGCAAGGAGGAGGGCGCTGCTGAGGGCAGCGCCATAGCCCAGCCTCCATAGCTGGCGGGCTTGGATGTACAGTGAGGCACAGGGGTGGTCGTCTGGTGTACAACAAGGGAAGACGTGGGAGAGAGTCAAGGGAGAGAGAGAAGGATGATGATGATGATGATGTGAGGGCACATACCTGGTATTGGCGACGGTTCTGCATGGGCGACATCTTCAAGTACTTCAGAGGCTGCTGACGTCAACAGTTGCATTGTCAATTAGTAGGCTAGTAGTAGCTGTGTAGGGAGTAGGCTGGGCGCCGAGCGCCAAGTAGGGAGATAGGGACTGGATACATATGTTGGTGGTGACAAGAGCAAGCTCTCATTGACATTGGCTTTCAGTGCTACTATTCTCCATTGGTGTCATATTGGTACAATGCTACTTTCTGAACACTCTGATACGATCCGGCTTTCAATGTGATTGTGCAATCTGAATATTGTCATCTCGCTATTGCTCATTTTCCTTGCAATTTGGTATCGGAGCTGGTTCAAACTGCGCTCATTGGTTCTTCGCAATAGCTGTTCGGTGCTTCGCATGAGGTGTGGGGCATTGATAAAGCTTAGGCGTTGGGCATAAGGCGGCCCAGGGTCGTGTGGGCGAGCCAGGAAGCTATGTGGTGACATTAGGGGTGTACGCTGGATGATGAGAGCTCGCTGATGTGGCATTTAAGCGAGGTGGAACTGCATTCTGCTGTGGGTTGTGCCGAGGCAAAGACCGGTCATCATAAATGCACATCAGGTTGCCGGTGAGAAATCTGTGGTTGGGGGCAGCATTATGAGGTACGCTGCCTCCTTCCTTATCTACCCTCTTCATTGCTTCTTACCGTGAGGAAGTGAGTTTTGTCTTGAGAGTCCTCTCGATGTGAGGTGTCGCGAGCACTCAACCTTGAGAGTCGACATTCTTCCGGGGCAGCAAGCTGGTGGGAGACGGGTGATGCCTCTGAAGGGCCCTGGCCGAAGCACTTGGGTCACGGTCACCATGCCAACCCGCTGGGACTAGTACACGCATGCTTTGCCGCAAGTCCTTGTGCAAGGAAGATGAGAAATAGGGAACTTCAGCAATCAAACAGCATCATACACATGAGACCAGATAGTCGCGACCTCGAACCAAAAGCAGAATTGCATCACGAGTTTCACCAAATAAGAGCACACCAAAAGCTCATAATTGACAATGCTGGAATAGTCTCATCATCATCAACGAAGAACCAATGTTGATATCCTATCTGGCACTCGGCACCCAGACTACGAATGGCAGATCCTATCTAGCCTAGACTACAATGCCGCTGATGACATCAATACCTTCCCAAGTACGAGCAGACATCGGCCAATGCCGCACGCGTCAAGCACCACGTATGTCTCTCGTATCACTCACAACCTCGTTCCCCAACTCACAAATGCCACTTGCACCCAAGGACCACCATGTGCCCCATCCAGCATACAGCAACGCAGCTCGGCTATGGCTGCCTACTCCTTCCAGCTCGCCCGTGAGCGCGTGAGCCTGGCCAACATTAGCGCAGCATGCAGCCAGTGCCCGAATGTCCAATGTGTGGGCTGGCCCTTTCCTAAATGGAAGTGGCCAGCCTGCTTGCATGCAGCCTGGCTGCGCTGGGCCCCTGCCCGGAAGCTTCCGGTAGGCCCAGGGAAGCTGAGCCTCAGACCAAACGAATCAGACCCAGGGCCACCGACAGTTACCCGTGCCCATCTGCCCGCTGTCTGAGTTGGGCCTATCCTGCGTATCTCGCCCATGGCCTGACTTAAATACATCGGTAAAGGAGGCCAGGGCCTGGGCGCCGTCAACCAACTGGCGCTGCGCAACTGCCTGATTTCCCTCAGTTGCGAAGTAGTCCAAAATAGGCCCCTTGTCGTCTGTCAAGCCTGCCTTCACTTAGGACGGCCGACCTGTTGTAAATAGGGGCCCAGTAGGGCTTATCGAGGCCTATGCCTCGCACTTGGTTCTGTTGATGCACAATAGAGGTCATGCAGGGCATGCCAGCCCTTTGAACAGACACTTACTAGGCCGTCTTTAAATATTTCAGGCGGGGATTCGATGTTGATTCTGGCTGTGATCGCCGTCTTGTCTGCGATGTTAAATAATTCCTGAGTTACGGTGATCTCCTTAAATGCCTTCTGATCAGCCAGATCAAACCGGGTGTAAGGCTCGTTGCATGCGAGGGTAAATAATGTGCAAGGGCTGGCAGGTTCGGCGTTGACTTGGGGCACAGGGGTGGGCCGGATTGCACACCTTCAGACACGCTGCTCAACCAGATGCTCAGGTCGTTGACACAAAGTGACAACTCAAGAAGGATACAGGGAGAGAGGGGATTTCGGCAACTGTTCGCCGTGGCATAATTAGATAAACAGCCATTCAGCATACATCTCTGCAGGGAACATTATTTTTTATTTTTTATTATTTAGTTCTTTCAGACTTGACTAACAACTGACAAACAGTTGCAGATAGAGTCGTATATCACCACTCAACCTTCCTGGCGATACCCCTCTCCACGTGGGTCGCCTGCTTGCCATCGCCCTCCTCACTGCACACTACCCACGGTCGCTC